CTGAACTAGGTGAACTGAATTTGTTCATAACTGATGAATTTTGCAACATCAACATTGTTATTCAACTGTACTAAATCAACAATGGACTAACTCATATTACATTGTCACGCATTAAATTAGGAAAATATCACTGACACCAATATTACTGATGGTTCTTTTTTTCCTAATATTTAACCATTGACTATAGCAATTCAACATTTTACAGTATAATTGAGAGCTATCAATTTTAACATTTATTAGACTTTAAAAAATAGCTTCTAATTTAAGTGAACTTAAGACAATCATCACATAAACCTATTATAATAAATGTCATATTAACCTGTGCCCTTCAGCAAGTTGGAAATATACAGAAATTAAATAAAGTTATCAAACACTAAATTCTAAATTAAATAGAGATGAATCCTTAAATCCTTAAAATAAAAGTTCTTTTTTCCTCTTTTTTTCTTTGTCCTTTGATTAATAGACATCATGGTTTCCTTTTTTCTTTTGTTCTTTGACATCACAGCAGCTGGGTTATTAGGTTATTTGGCTGCTATTACTTTAAGAGCTGCCGCTGCTGAACATGACACGGATCTGACACGCATGCTCATAGTTTAATTCACGCTTTAATATGAAATTGTACAGGCCACAGTGCGCACCGCCGTATTTGTGCGTGTAATTGAAGAGCACACGCTTCAAGCCCAATATAACGGCTGACAGGACAGAAAAATTCATATTTACTGACATAAGGCCTGACAACATCTCATCTGACCGCAGTTCACTGTTGTTCTAATGAAGCTCCTCGTCACCTGTAGCGTTTCTGCACTTGTTTGACTAGAGCTTGTCGCTGAGGTGAAGTGGAGTGCGCGTCTGAAAAGTCTCCTGTTTGACGTGGTCATAAAGACGTTCTGTGTCTAAATAAATGCAATTCTTGTCAAGAAAAAAGAGACAGAAGCAGCAGTTGTGAGTGGGGTGGCCAACCCTAGCTCCGCCCCTGCATTAACCGTGTTCATATTTTTTACACTGTTAAACTGGACATATTAATAGCCTGCATTAATGCGCTAATTTTGACTGCACTAGTGGATGCACAAATAAGAAATGAGAAGCACCCACTAAGTTGGCTGTGTCTACTCTACACTGCTGGTAGTGAATTTCTAAAACCGTGGAGTCATAAAGAACATTAGGAAATACTGGAGTGACGTTCCTACCAATAGCATGTTGTTATCAAAATTTGTATTGTAAAAATAGCCTTTCTGTGGGTCTCACCTCCTGTGAGGACCCCTGTTACTCAGTTCCATCATTAACACTTGTCTGATGTTTGTATGTTGACCATGTGTCCTATGGAGAAGCACTGATCTAAACCAGTATTGCATTGATCTCATACCAACCCTGGTCCTGAGCTGCATTCCACTTCACTTCAAGCATTTGAGAACTTCCCTGAACACATTTTCCCTTGGGGGATGCCTGCCACCATTTTTGGAATTGTGTTCCACTTTATTAAGTTGATTGAGCCTTAACGGCTCAATTTTGACCAAGGGGACAAGTCTACTCGTATGCACACTTTAGAAGAAGTGAAGTGAAGTGACATGTGGCCAAGTATGGTTACCCATACTAGGAATTAGTGCGCACACACAGCAGTGAACAGCCGATCCAATTCCTGCCGGACCTGAGACTCAAACTCGCAACCTTTGGGTTACGAGTCCGACTCTCTAACCATTAGGCCACGACTTCCCCAAATTTTCCCCAGTCAATAAGTATTAATAAGTAAATTGATTATAGACCTCATTGATCTGAGCTTATGCTTATTTTGAGTGAACATTGCTAAAATGATCAGATTAATGAGGCCTTCAACCAATCCGTTCCAAAAAGAAATACAAAACCTGTGCTAATTCAAAGAAAACAAGTTGACTGTAAGAATGAATCCAAGATTTGGTGATAATATAGCACTCAAGGGCACCTCAGTCGTGGTATTGAAGGTGGGAGAGAGCGCTGTAAATTCACTCCCCCCACCTACAATTCCTGCCGGACCTGAGACTCGAACTCGCAACCTTTGGGTTACGAGTCCGACTCTCTAACCATTAGGCCACGACTTCCCCAAATTTTTCCCAGCTCTAAACCCCAAAATTATGCTGCATATAGCAGTGACCTACTCCCCAGTCCCCCGATCAATAAGTAAATTGATTATAGACCTCATTGATCTGAGCGTATGCTTATTTTGAGTGAACATTGCTAAAATGATCAGATTAATGAGGCCTTCAACCAATCCGTTCCAAAAAGAAATACAAAACCTGTGCTAATTCAAAGAAAACAAGTTGACAAAAAGAATGAATCCAAGATTTGGTGATAATATAGCATAATGAGAGATTTACAAGCAATTTTTAAAAGACTGGTAATTTCTGACCGGGAACACCAAATTAGGCAAAGGTTTTTTCAGCACAGCACAGGGGGTTAAGAACAAGTGCAATCTTTTGATTGGTGTTATTTGTATTAATTCATTTATAATTTTGTTTAGTGGACTACTTGTAAACATCTGTTATGTGAAATTCAGTTTATTCAGGGAACTACTAAATAAAAAAAGTGAAATTTTATGATCCCTCTTAATTTCTTATAATTATTAGCTTTCTGCAGATTCTGCAAGGTGTATGTAAACTTGTAACTTGGAAATATAAAAACAGGTATCATCAGAATAACTCTTGGGAGAGGTATACAAGGAGAAAAGCAGAGGACCTAACACTGAGACCTGTGCCACTCCATACTTGTGTTTGATGAGATATCTCTTCATTTACACAAAGTGGTAGCAGTCATGTAAATAGGACCCAACTGTGCTAATGTTTGTCCATAACTTCCTAAATATTTCTCAAGCTGTCCAAAAAATGTCATGGTCAATGTTGTCTAATTCTAAAGAAGAGAGATGTAGCCATAATGAGATGCCAAAAGTACAGTTTTTGTGCTATGATGTGGCTTAAATCCTGACTGAAATTCTTTCTATGCAGTATTTCTAATATTCTAGACATAAATGGCAGATTTGAGATCTATAAATGAGGTCGATAAATGACCAATTCCCCTGGTTTACAAGGAAAACCTCTTTCAGTAGCTTAGTGTGTGTATAGGATCTATCAAATATTTAGTTAATTTTTAAAGCTTTAAATGTAAGTGTTTTGTTTGTCGTGTTTTTGCAGGTCATTAACCTGAGAATAACTTGTATTTGTCTCTTTTCGTCTTAGACCTGATGCCACTAAAAGAAGAGTTACTAAATGAAAAGGAAGCAAAAGAGGAGAAACATCATGATTTCACAACTGGAGAAACTTTTAGGTGCTCACAAACTGAAATGACTTCTTCACAAAAAAGAGCTCAAAAGACAGGAACTAGAAATTATTTCACCTGCTTTCAGTGTGGAAAGAGTTTCAATCAACATGAAGACCTTAAAGCCCACATGAGAGTTCACACTGAAGAGAAGCCTTTCACCTGCCAGCAGTGTGGAAAAAGTTTTACTGAAAGAGGAAGCCTTAAAAGGCACATGAGGGTTCACACTGGAGAGAAGCCTTACACGTGTCAACAGTGCGGAAGCAGTTTCACTCAAAAAGGAAGTCTGAAGAGGCACATGAGAATTCATTCTGGAGAGAAGCTTTTCACCTGCAAACTGTGTGGAAAGAAGTTCTCACACAAAGGAAATCTAAAGATTCACATGAGAGTTCACACTGGAGAGAAACCATTCATATGTGTTCAGTGTGAACAATGTTTTACACGTAAAGAAAGCCTTAAAAACCACATGAGGATTCACTCAAGAGCCAGCTGTTTCGTGTGTCAACAGTGTGGAAGGAGTTTCCTAAACAGCAAACGCCTAATAAGGCATGTAATAACTCACACTGGAGAAAACCCTTTCATGTGCCATCACTGTGGAAAGAGTTTCACACTTAAAGGAAACCTCAAGACTCACTTGAGAATTCACACTGGAGAGAAGCCTTTTATATGCCAACATTGTGGAAAGAGTTTCAGGCATAATGTAAGTCTTAAGATTCATATGAGACTTTACACTGGAGAGAAGCCTTTCAGATGTCTTCAGTGTAAGAAGTGTTTCACATATCAAAGAGACCTGAAACGTCATTTGCAAACTCATTCCGGAATGAAATTGCAGAGTTCTGAGTTTAGAAAATGGAGACATTTTAAAAATCACCTGTGCAGTCACTCTGGAAGAAGGCGATTTAATTGTGATCAATGTAATAAAAAATGTATTGTGCCGTCACACTTAAAGATACACCTGAAAAGTCACGCAGGTGTGAGACGCTACTCATGTTTTTGTGTGGGAAGAGTTTTAAATGGCTTGGCAATTTAAAATGGCACCAGAAAACACGTATCTGTGTGAAATTAAGGCTACGTTCACACCACAAATGAAAGTGAGCCAAGTGTGATTTTCTGCTAAAGTAAGATTTTTTTTTTCTTTTGGTCAAGCTGTTGACATTACCTTTTAAATGTAGCCTGTATTAAATACGGTACATGTCTGAACAGGTGATGTTATTACAACACTTCTCATGTCTTTAATTTGCATCCTTTACATACTGATTAAAAGATCAATAAAAGGACATAAACTGAATGAGGCAATGAACACGGCATTGCTTATTTAATTCATCTTTAGTTAAAGAAGGTACAAGTAAACATATCAATATGGATTTGAAAAATGGCTACTTTTGGGGGCCGTCTGATGACATCTAGAAGCTGGTTCCAGCCGCAGGTGTCTCATCTGCTGATCCTAGGTGTTTTTAGCTTATTGAATTAGTCAAGTTGATTTCATTTTCAAAATAGCTTTATTACAGGGCTCTGTGGAATACTTGATTCTGATTGGTCAGTCACCACATTCCGAGGTATATTATTTCCCAATAACAACTGGTAAAGGCTAATAACACAGGCTCATCCGGGTAACTGCTATTCGTTTGCTGGGAAAAAATTTTCTTCGTGGAAGCTTTGTTCTCTGTATAAATATTTATTGTCATCCTGGTATTGTGGACTCGCTCTCTCATTTCATACGAATGCAGCTGCTGCCATTTTGCGATGTTTGTTTTGTACACTGTAATGGATTGCAAGATAACTGACAAACTGGTAAGATTTTAAAACAGTTTAATCTTAAATCAATATATTTTATCTTTACAAAACAACAGGGGTCAAGTAATGCTGCAATGGTTTCTTCACGTAATCATTGGTGCCCTTTGGATATTTAAGATGAAATACTCCAAGGCACTCGTATAGTAAAAGTAAAAAGCCTTTAACTAATTATCTACACGTTTCGGCTACATAGCCTTCTTCAAGCCTGTTCTTTATGCTGTGTGGCAGCAGAAGTTGATGTGGATTAGTCTTATTCTTATTGAGTCTAGAAGCAAGAAGGTGGTGCCATTTTCTTTGTTGAAAAGTTGTGTCTTATGTTGGTATAGGAAAGAGGTTTATGGGGGGGTGTAGGGTGACCATATTTGTTTTGAACATTTATTAATGTTTTTAAAAAAAAGAGGATGGGCGGGTTGGGGGGTGTTGTAGGTTGGGTTTGAGGGGGGTTAACCTGTAGAGCGGTACGGTCCCACATATGGGATTTAGAATGCTGACGTCACATAACTGCCAAATTCAAACTGCGCTTTCGCGCTTTGGCTGATGCTGAGACGCCGCTGCATTTGTCTTATAAGCACAACTATGCAGTGTTTTTAACTACATAATGTTTATTTTAGATTTCAGACATTTAAATACACATATACTAGTAAAACAATACAATCGTAGTACACAAGGATGTTTATGGAAGCAGCTTCTCCACCTGAACAGGGCTAAGTTGAACATAGGTCTCATAAAAAGTGAGACACTTCTTACAGGTTAGTGTGCCATGTTCTGTATGTGGTATCTGTAGATCACACTGGCTCTGAGAAGACTCATGATCTAATCCGTAACATTGCTGAAGGAGACCATCCGTCTGGTATCCCTGTCTTTCCCTGTCTGACTGCATTCTCAGCCTACATTAGAAAATTGCATATCAGCAGTTGCAAACTGATAATACAAAACAAATAATCGAAATTCAGATACACATAGTGTAAGTAACTGTAAAGTTCACTCTATTCTTCGCCCAGTTTACCGGCCACTTACTTGCGTGTATTTCGAGAGAAACTGATACATTTACGTGCTGTAAATCTGACTGATAGGACTCTGAACTGCGGTGCAAGCAAACAAGGGGACACTTAATCTCAAGGAGCTGTGCTGAGTTCAAATTTCCATCTGGGCTGGCTCCAAACCAGGTATGGTCAGGACACACCACCAGGCCTTTCCTCTGCACAGTGTGCCTTTGAGCTTCCATGAGCTGTTTGGCTATGTCCTCAATTTCCTCATTTAGAAGTGCTCCGTTTGGAGACTCTCTTTGCTGTGCTCGCAGTCAGTCGCAGTTTCCTTGCATCATGCCACAGTTGTGATGCACTCTGTGCCTGGGTCTCTTTGGTCAACTTCTCCACCTGAACAGGGCTAAGTTGAACATAGGTCTCATAAAAAGTGAGACACTTCTTACAGGTTAGTGTGCCATGTTCTGTATGTGGTATCTGTAGATCACACTGGCTCTGAGAAGACTCATGATCTAATCCGTAACAGTTCACTCAATGAGTCTAGTTATGAAATGTCAACTCAACCAGTCTTTGCCAAGGATTCAAATGTTGAAATGTCTGCCTGTTCAGTTTCAGTCAGTGAGCTCGTTCATGAACTGTCTGCCCATTCAGTTGTCACCAGGGAAAATAT